CAGGTCACTGGCTAAGTGACCCTGCTCCGTTCAGCCTCGAAGGGGGGAGAGATGTGACGAAGTGGGGGGTTTTCTTGTTTTCTGTGGGGTTTCAATGGTTTGCATGCAGAGGGGGTGGGACCCAGTTTCCCTGGGTGTCACTGGTTTAACGAGGTGAGGGGAGAGGGAGTGTGTTTTGCAGAGGACCGGAGAGAGGACGTGGGGACCCAGCCGGTGGCCGGGAGGATGGATACCCCAGCGACCGGTGACCTGGCGACCTGGTGACCCAGAGGCCCAGCTGAGGAGACGCAGCCGGTTCTGGCCAGTGGGAGGACAATCGGCTGCAGAGTGAGGACCCAGTGACCTAACCAGCCGGTTCCAGCCAGAGGACAGAAGTGAGGAGAGGAGGCCCCGGTTTACGACCCTGTTTCCCTGGAGAGAAGACAATGGACAGAGGCGGGGCCTGGGGCCGGGGATCTCAGATGCCCAGCTGGGAGCAAGGGGGCTCTGGGCTGGAGAGAGGGAGCAGGCAGAGCCCACCTGGAGGCAGAGAGACTGGGATGTGCTGGGCTGAGGGAGGCCAGGCCTGAGGGTCAGAGAGTTTCCTGTGCTGTGTTCAACTCTCAATAAACCCTTCTGTTTCATGCTGGCTGAGAGTCACTCCGGTCTAGAGAACAGGGTTGCATCAACCCCTTCGGGGGTGGAGGCCCCGGGGGTCCAGAGCGAGTGGACTCCCTGAGGGGGCCCACGGCAGAGACAGATGTGCTAAGGCTCAGAGAGGTGCGGATCCAGGAGGTGGAGGGGCCGGACCCCGAGAGAGAGTGGACCCCCGAGAAGGGCTGTCTCACTAAAAGGGGCACCCCCCACGGACTGCACGGGGCCAAGAGTGGGCACGATCTGTAAGTCCGTGACACCTCCGTACTGGCCCGTACCGGCTTACTTGCACCTCTGCTCTCATGTACTTAAAAAAACAATTTGCTGTTAGGTTTTGTGCCTTTTGCTAGTTGCTCTTCAAATTGTTTTTCGTCCTGCCTCGTTATACTTTCGTTATACAGAACAGAGCATAACCAGCAGTTATGCTCTGTTCTGATTTCCTCAGTAGGATTTGACGACCAGTTTTTAAAAGATGCCTTTTTACCTCTAACAGCCTGTTTTACTCTGCTGGTTAGCCAAGCTGGTATTTTTCTGGTCCTCTAATATTTTTTTTATTTGGGGTACACATTTAGTTTATGCTTCGATGACGATGATTTTTAAAGGATTCCATGCAGCTTGCAGGCGTTTCACTCTTGTGTCTGTTCCTTTTCATTTCCATTTAACTAGCTTCCTCGTGTTTGTGTCGTTCCCCTTTTTGAAGTTAAATGGTGGGTGGTTGTGGAGAAATACCACAGGCTCCCCACCCCCCACTTTAACCCACTAAAGTCCACACCCTACCGGTGCTGCGGGGCTGGAACCCTGGCTCCCAGCAAAGGGGACCTAACTGTACAATCGGCAGTTCCCAAACGGGGCCAGAGGTATCCTTGTCCTGCTGAGAACTGCTCCCAGGTGCACACAGCTTTATCCCCACCCTGCTGTCTATGGGCACAATTTATCCCTGGTGTAAATTCAGGTGGCTGGTGTGGGGCAGCAGGGAATACCAGGCCAGACGGGTGTATGGGTCTGATGCAGGGAGGCCAGAGACACCAGGTTAGACAGGCCAATGGGTCTGATCCAGCGTGGCAGGGACGGGCCCCAGGTCACACGGGGCAGTTGGAGCAGGGCTGGAAATGGATCCAGGGCTCCGGGGTCACAATTTCCTTAATCACAATTCAACTTTCCTCTTGGGCTCTGCAGGAGCCATGGGATGAAATTAACAAAGAGAGCCCCAGGTTGGGGGTCTGTGAGCCGGGATTCCCCTACCCAAGGGAAGGGTTAGGGTTTGGGGGGTGAGCCAGGGATCCCCTCCCCAGGGGAAGGGCTGGGAGCCCTGGTGCTGAGGTGAACTGTCTGATCTGGGGAGATCCCATCCCAGGGGATGGGCAGTAGCCCTTGGGACTGGTGCATCTTTGGCCCAGGGGAGCCCCCAGGACCAGCGCTGACCCCCAACACTCCCCAGTCATTTAAACCTCCCTCTCCCAGAACCCCCCAGGCATGGGCACATGGTGGCTGTGAGGCGGATACACACAGACACTTTGCACAGCATCCCCGCACCGCGGCTCTTTTACTGACCAGACAAATCCCAGAGAGGACAGAGCAGATAGATTTCAGAGTAGCAGCCGTGTTAGTCTGTATCCGCAAAAAGAACAGGAGTACGTGTGGCACCTTAGAGACTAACAAATTTATTTGGGCATAAGCTTTCGTGGGCTACAGCCCACTTCATTGGATGCATAGAATGGAACATATAGTGAGGAGATATAGATACATACAGAGAACATGAAAAGGTGGGAGTTGCCCTACCCACTCTAAGTGGCTAATTAAGATGAGCTATTATCAGCAGGAGAAAAAAAACTTTTGTAGTGATAATCCGATGACCCATTTCAGACAGTTGACAAGAGTTGTGAAGATACTTAACATGGGGAAATAGATTCAATGTTTGTAATGGCTCAGCCATTCCCAGTCTCTATTCAAGCCTAAATTGATGGTATCTCGTTTGCATATTAATTCAAATTCAGCAGTTTCTCGTTGGAGTCTGTTTTTGAAGCTTTTCTGTTGCAAAATTGCCACCTTTAAGTCTGTTACTGAGTGACCAGAGAGGTTGAAGTGTTCTCCTACTGGTTTTTGAATGTTATGATTCCTGATGTCAGATTTGTGTCCATTTATTCTTTTGCGTAGAGACTGTCCAGTTTGGCCAATGTACATGGTAGAGGGGCATTGCTGGCACATGATGGCATAGATCACATTGGTAGATGTGCAGATGAACGAGCCCCTGATGGTCTGGCTGATGTGATTAGGTCCTATGATGATGTCACTTGAACAGATATGTGGACAGAGTTGGCATTGGGCTTTGTTGCAAGGATAGGTTCCTGGGTTAGTGTTTTTGTTGTGTGGTGTGTAGTTGCTGGTGAGTATTTGCTTCAGGTTGGGGGGCTGTCTGTAAGCAAGGACTGGCCTGTCTCCCAAGATCTGTGAGAGTGAGGGATCATCTTTCAGGATAGGTTGTAGATCTCTGATGATGCGCTGGAGAGGTTTTAGTTGGGGGCTGTAGGTGACGGCTAGTGGCGTTCTGTTATTTTCTTTGTTGGGCCTGTCGTGTAGTAGGTGACTTCTGGGTACTCGTCTGGCTCTGTCAATCTGTTTTTTCACTTCAGCAGGTGGGTATTGTCGTTTTAAGAATGCTTGATAGAGATCTTGTGGGTGTTTGTCTCTGTCTGAGGGATTGGAGCAAATGCGGTTGTATCTTAGAGCTTGGCTGTAGATAATGGATTGTGTGATATGGTCTGGATGGAAGCTGGAGGCATGTAGGTAAGTATAGTGGTCAGTAGGTTTCCGGTATAGGGTGGTGTTTATGTGGCCATCGCTTATTAGTACAGTAGTGTCTAGGAAGTGGATTTCTTGTGTGGACTGGTCTAGGCTGAGGTTGATGGTGGGATGGAAATTGTTGAAATCAAGGTGCCACAAGTACTCCTGTTCTTAGAGCAGATAGAAACCACAGTCGATTGTGATCCCCGTCGGGCAGGGCCCCTCTGTTTGGTCTGTGATTTGGCAGCACCAGCACAACGCCAGCCTGGGCCAGCACCAATATTTAAATTACTGAAGAAATGCAGCGTTGGAGCAGAAATCAGAGGAGAGCCCCCGTCGGCCATTCCCTCAGCCGTGCCAGAGGGGGACAGGTCCGCGTTCGTCAGCCGCTCCCGCTGCACAGACATGGGCTCAGAACCGGCTCTGACACTGGGAGACTCAGCGGCTCAGCTCTGAGCAGCTTGGGGGTGGAGGGGGGGTTTGACCCACAGAATCCGGGCGAAAGCCCCGAGCTGAATTCAGAGCACAGAGACGGGTACTCCTGCCAGTCACAAGCTGGGGGTCGGTTTGCCAGGCCGGCCCATCTGCCCCACGGAGGGGAGTGGGATCCCACAGTGCTCCACTTGCCCCAGCCTCTGCCTGCTCGTCTGACTCTGTGCCGGCTCCTGCGACTGGAAAAGGGGAACTGCCCCGTGACTGGCACTGGCGAGACGGGAGACAGGATTGTGTCAGACCCTTTGCAGGGAAGCTGAGGCAAAGCCCTGGCTGGAGAAGGTCCCAGTGATCAGTGACTTGGAAAGAACAAGCTGCAGGAGAGAACGCATACAATACAACGGTGTAAGGCCCAACACCCTCTAACAGCCACGCCAGAATCGCCCCCAGAGCAGAAGGGGGTCAGTGGACAGAGATCACTGAGACAGCAGGGTCAACGGCTGGGCAGGGTCACCCCGACGCCGGGGTCCCACACTCCGGGTGTCTGCCCCATGACGAGCTGGAGGCAGAATCTTCTCTGGTCTATGCTGTGGAGAGAGAAGAAAATCGTTCCAAGGCGGCTTTAGCTGTGGGGGATCCCAGCTAGGGAAGGGGGATGGGAATTCAGCTCTGGGCTTCCCCCCACAGTGTCACCTCTGGACCCCAAACTGTGCTCTGCACAGAAACCCCCCAGTCCTGACAGTGGGACAACGGACAGGCCTCCAGGAGAGAGTGTAACACCCCTACGCACTGTCTCCCCGAGGCCCAGGTACCGGCCTGCACTCCCGTCCCCAGAGCCACGCTAAGGAGCCCCAGTGCATGCTGGGACGCTGGATGAACTCTGTTCTCAGGGGTGGCCTTTGGATGCTGTTCTGGCCCTTTGGGGTTCCCTGGGTTTGGGCGAAGGCAGCGCGTCTGTCATAGAATCCGGGGGAGCCGGGGAAGGGCGACGGCTGGGGATGGCCTCGCAGATTCCCACACGCTGAGGAATTGTCAGACCCAGAGTAACCAGCGATCGGGGCCCATCTCCAGTCACTGCTGGGCTCCCTCCTCCCCTCACGGGGATCCCCCCGCACCCATAATGCACTGGGGCATCTGGGCCCCATACCCAGGATTTACTCACTGGCTGCCGGAACGTAGGGGCCTGAAACACAAGCAGAGAATGAGGGTCAGTGCAGGGGAGCAGGGTAACCCCTCCCCCATGGTGACCCCAACCCCCTGTCCCCTCTGACACAGGGCTCCCCGTGACCCCAACTGCACCTAGCACAGGCCAGCCCCACCCCAGTGCCCCCCCCATCAGGGCACACAGCGCCCAGCCAACGACAGAGCCCACTCTGCCCCCAGCAGGGCCGGGCTATGGTGACTGGCCCTGCCCCATGGCCCTGCCCCATCTCTCCTTGGGGGCAGTGCTAGGAGCCATTCCCCCTTGGGCTGGCTGGGCCGCCCCACTCCCCAGACCTCCCCACATCCCGGCTCCACGGGGACCGGCTCTGACCTGCTGATTTTCTCCTCCACAGGATGATGCCGGCCCCTACGGCTCCAGCCAGAACCAGCCCGGCCAGGACGATGGCGGCCAGGACCCCGGGGTGCAGGGGGCCCTTCTTCCCAGGGGCTGTGGGATGGAGAAGGGCCCAGGTCACCGAGGGGAGCAGCCGCTGGGGCATCCTCCTGAGGCAGCCACAGGCCTTTGCCTTGAACGTCTCCCCGAGGGCGTCTGCAGAGACCTGGCCCCAGGGGAGGGGAAACCCGAGTGTGATGAGGTGGAGATGCTTCCCACTGAGCCAGAGGGGGAGGAGCCAACCACTAAATCAGGGTGGGTGGGGTTTAGGCTTGCCCCGCCTACTGGAAGTCAAGGGAAGGGGCAGGAAAATTAAAGTCTGAGCCCTGGAGCTCAGTTGGGAGAAAGCGTCTGGAGGAGGCAGACGCCTCCCGCCTGCTCCCGGAGTTAGACCCGGAGGAGAACCCTTGAGCTGCTGCCGCTGCTGGATACCTACCCCGGGGAGACACACACGGACCCAGGTGCACCCTAAGGGGAAGGTAGGAAGTGGCCCAGGGGCAGCCGACTCCAGTCCGGCTGTAGCGCTGCCGGAAGCATGGTCACCATGTTGTGGCTGGATTCCCCACCACTATTAGGGCCCTGGGCTAGGACAGTGGAGTTGGGTGGGCCCACATCCCCCTACCCCCCTTCGATGGGGTCCCTCACTTCTGTTGAGGCCAGAGGGATGATCCCACGCTCAGTTATGCCTATGACCAGTTGGCCCACATCTACGGAGCCGTGACAGACCTCCAGAGAATGGCCCATTGGCCCCAATTTGAGCTCACAGTTGATCGGCTCTACCGTGCTGACCGAGACCCAGAAACCCACGAGGTTCAGACCCCGTTGGTTGTTCCACGCTGCCATTGGAGGGATGTTTTGAAGTTTGCCCATGAGTCCATGACATCCCCGTGCCTGGCCACTTGGGGCAGGAAAAGACCTTGGCCTGAGTCCTATTTCGCTTCTTCTGGCTGACGGCCCATCGTTAGGTAAGGGACGACTGTCGCTCATGCCCCGAGTGCCATCTGGCTGCTGGATCGAGGGTGGCAAAAGTGCCCTTGGTCCCCTTGCCCATAGTAGGGGTCCCCTTCGAGCAAATCGCGATGGACCTGGTGGGACCCCTCCTGAAGAGTAATGCCGGGTTCCGCTATAGCCTCGTGCTAATGGACGGTACAATCCGCTTTCCCGAGGCCATTCCACCACGAAATACCAGCGCCCGCACCAGCACAGCGCCGGGACTGGTGAAGATCTTCGCTGGTGCTGGGCTTCCCCGGGAACTTCTCACTGATCAAGGCACCAACTTCCCCTCCCGGCTGTTCCGCCAGGTGCGTACGCTGCTGGGCACTGAGAAGCTGCAGGCATCCGTGGATCACCCGCAGACGGACGGGCTTGTCGAGCGCTTCAACAGAACCTTAAAGGGCCGGCTGAGGAAGTTCCCTTCACAAGAGCTACGACAGTGGGACCAGCTCATCCCGCTGCTGTTGTTAGCCACCCGAGAGGTACCCCGGTCATCCACCGAATTCTCCCCCTTTGAGCTCCTGTCCGGCCGACAACCCCGCGAGGTGCTGGATCTAATGAGAGAGGCCTGGGAACACACCCCGTTGTCCTCGTGCAATATGTCCTACATTTACAGGATTGACTGACTGGGGCTGGGACCCTCGCGAAGGAAAATCTGACGATGGCCCAAGAGACCCAGGAGCGGCTACAACCAGGGGGCTTGGGACCGTACCATCGAGCCCGGTGACTGAGTGCCCCTTCTCCCCTCGGAGGAGTACAAACGCCTTGCCAGATGGCAGGGCCCGTATGAAGTGGTCTGGTGGGTAGGGCCGGTAACGTACGAGATCCACCAGCCAGACCCCAAAAAGAAAAAGTGGGTTTACTACGTGAATCTTTTGAAGCCATAGCATACATGTGAAGGACTGCGGATCGCTCCTTGTCCTTCCGAGCCAGACTTAGGTCCCCAAGTCCCTGATATGGCTGAGATCAAGGAGCCCCAGCTGGGTGACACCCGCTCACCAGAACAGAAACAGGCCTGGTGACTGCTGAAAGCTTCTCTATGACTTTCACCGCACTCCCAGGCCAGACTGGAGCCGTGCAGCACACCATCCAGGCGAACCCTGGGGGTGTCTGGGAGACCACCTGCCCGCTCCTGCGACAGACCCGGGAGATCATCGAGAAGGAAGTCCAAGCAATGGTGGAGCTGGGAGTCACTGAACGGTCACGGAGTGAGTGGCCCAGTCCTATCGTGCTGGTTCCGAAGCCAGCTGGGACTCTCCAATTCTGCACAGACTTCCGGAGGGTAAATGCGATCTCAAAGTTCGACGTGTACCCAATGCCCAGGATCGATGAGATCCTCGACACTTGACCTTATGAAAAGGTGCTGGCAGATCCCCTTGGACCTGAGCTCCAGGGAGAAGACTGTGTATGCCACTCCGACCGGGCTATATCATTTCACCCAGATGTTCTCCAGCGTCCATGGACCCCTGGCGACCTTCCAGCCCCTGACGGACCGCCTCCTGAACCCCGACATGGAGTACGCTGTGGTCTGCTTGGACGATGACGTGATCTACAGCCGCCTTTGGGAAGATCATTTAAATCAGGTGGCCGCCATCCTTCAGACCCCACGGCACGTCGGACTCACTGCCAACCCAGAAACATGCCGGATCGGATGGCAAAGACTCCGTACCTGGGATAGACGCTCAGCCCAGGACTGGTATGCTACCAGGTGCTACCGACGGTTTGTGCCCCCAGCTTGCGTCAATCACGTGCCCCTCACGGCACTCCCTGACCAAGAACAGCCTCCGCCGGGTGCGTTGGTTGGCTGAGTGTGAAGACGCCTTCCAAACCCTCAAGGAAAGCCTGTGTCAGGACCCCGTGTTGTTCACACCCGACTTCAACCGCAAGTGTCTGGTCCAAACAGTCGCTTCAGAGGTGGGGCTTGAGGCAGTCCTTTCCCAGGAGATGGATGGAGAAGTGATTCCTATCCTCTACCTCAGCTGAAAGCTTTTCTCCCAGGAATACAAGTACTCGGTCATAGAGAAGGAGGCCCTCACTGGCAAGTGGGCCATCGACGTGCTCCGATATTATCTTCTTGGGGTCTCCTTTGTGCTGATCATCGACCACGCCCCCCTCAGGTGACTAACCCCCACGAAGAACTCCAACGCCAGGCTAATGCGGGGGTACCTCACCCTCCAGCAATGTGCCTGTACAGTCAGACACCGGGCAGGTGAGGAGAATGCCACTGCCGACTTCTTATCTTGCCTAGGGGGAGCCAAGCGGCCAGCTCTGAAGACGGGGAGCTGGCCTTGAGGAGGGGTGTGTGACAGGCGAAGTGGCCTCCCCCTGAACCAGAGGGGAAGGAGCCACCTGCTAAACCAGGGTGGGCGGAGCCAGAGTGGGCTTGCCCCGCCCACCTGAAGTTGAGGGATGGACAGGATGTATAAAGGCTGAACCCTCCAGCTCAGTTGGGAGAAAGCGGCCGGAGGAGACAGACGCCTCCCGCCTGCTCCCGGAGGTAGAGCCTGAGGAGAACCCTGGCTGCGCTGAAGACTGGCCAGAGCTGCTGCCGTCACCGCCTGACCTGGACCCTGTGGAGTTGCTGGGGCCACCACTGCACACCTACCCCGGGGAGTCAGAGGACACCCATGGACCGAGGCACACCCCGAGGGGAAGCTAGGAAGTGGCCCAGGGACAGCCGACTCCAGTCCGGCAGTCGGCATGTTGCAGCCAGATCCCTGCGGATGCAGTGGTAGGACGCTCCGCCACTGTTAAGGCCCTGGGCTGGGACGTGGTGGAGTTGGGTGGGTCCGTGACCCCGCACCCCAGGGTGGCAGCCTCCCCACTTAGGCCAAGAAGCCTGCGTTTGTCTGCCGTCTACCTGAGCCAAGTCGTCAGGCAATAGACTGCCTACTGCTCTCCCCACCTCAGAGGCCAGAGACGCACCCCGGCCGGAGCCCCGAGGCTGACCACTGCTCTGCCCTGACTGCAGACCAGAGCCCCCTATTTGCTCTCCCTAAGGGCCAGGGCTCACAGACAGCTCGTTTGGTCTGCCCCGCCTGAGGGCTAGAACCTTAGACCATTAACCCCACTGCTAATTCCCTGGCTGTGGGCGGAGCCCCATGACGTGGTGAGGTGGGGTGGCCTCCCGCTGACCCCGAGGGGGAGGAGCCACCGCTAACCCCCTACACTGAGCAGGGAGGTAGGTGGGGATGGGGCACAGAGGGTGGATGCTCTGCCGGGCACTGCCAGCCACAAAACAACCGGCCCCTTCCCTCGTAACAGAGTCAGCCTGTGGAACTCACTGTCACTGGATGAAGCCACGGCCAGAAACTTAATGAAATTCACTGAGGGATCGGCCGTTTCTGTAGGCCACACGAATATCCAGAGCTAGAAGAGTTCGCTCTGACGATGGCGGGGGATATTGACCCTCCTGCCGCAGGGCTGCCTCCATCTAAAAGGGTGTCATAAGGAGGAGGGAGAAAACTTGTTCACCTTAGCCTCTAAGGATAGAACAAGAAGCAATGGGTTTAAACTGCAGCAAGGGAGGTCTAGGCTGGACATTAGGAAAAAGTTCCTAACTGTCAGGGTGGTTAAACACTGGAATAAATTGCCTAGGGAGGTTGTGGAATCTCCATCTCTGGAGATATTTAAGAGTAGGTTAGATAAATGTCTATCAGGGATGGTCTAGACAGTATTTGGTCCTGCCATGCGGGCAGGGGACTGGACTCGATGACCTCTCGAGGTCCCTTCCAGTCCTAGAATCTATGAATCTATGAATCTCTGTAATTCCCATAGGGCTGTTCCCCCACCCCCAGGCCCTGCCATTCACCCCCCCTTACCCCAGATGAGCGTGGGCTCCCCCAGGCTGCTGTGTTTCACTCGGCAGGCGTAGCGGTGCCCGTCCTGCTGCGGGGAGATCTCCAGGGACGACTGCATGTAGTAGGTGCCATCAGTGTTGGGTAGGATCCCGCTGGAGTCTGTCTCCGCCAGGATGTCTTCTCCATCCCGCACCCAGGAGACATGGATGGGACGCGGGTAAAAGCCCCTGGCGCGGCAGGAGAGGGTGACGGAGCTGTCGGGGGCGTCTCTGCGGGAAACCGAGACCTCAGGGGGCACTGGGGGCGGGGGAGACAGTGTGTGAGTCTCATGCCAGGAACTGGGACCATGTAACAGACAGGCGAAAAGGTCCAGCACCGTATCAAGTACTCACGTGTGTGTGAGACCCGGTCTGCATCTGTTTACACTGATTTGTAAATGGAGCCTGTTAATCTGGTGTAAATCCCTTCTGGAGATTTACTGCAGATTTCCAAACGCCCCTCGGTGCCTGACCCCGGTGATTTCATGGGGAGCCAGGCGCCTCTGTTCGGAAATCCCAGCTGGCCCCAGTCTGCACTGTCAGGCGCTTAAATCCCTTTGTCACACGGCCCTGAGTCCCTGTCCCCATCCATGTCTCTGCCCTTGGCTGCGGAGGTGCCAGCGCTGGGCAGAACCACCTCAAAACAAGTTTTTTCTTTGTATAGCGACAACATGCATCCCCCGCCCCTGCCCCCCTCAGCCCCGCCTCCTTCACACTCACAAACGGCGGGGCGTTTTGCAGCTCAAACATGCCAAAAAAAAAATAATCAACTCACAGCCCAGAGCTGGGATGTTTCAGACCCAAAAGGGAAGTCTGAGGGAGCTGGAAGCTGACAGGAAACGCCCTGCAGAACGGAGACGCCCAGGCAGCCAGAACCGACTAATAACCACCCATAGCTCTCATCGGTCAATCTCAAAGGGCTTTACAAAGGAGGTTGGTGTCATTATCCCCATTGCATATGTGGGGAAACTGAGGCACAGACCAGGAGGGTGACTAGGCCAAGGCCACCCAGCAGAGCAGTAGCACAGCTGGGACTAGAACCCAGGTGTCTTGAGTCCCAGCCCAGTGCGCTATGCACTAGGCCACACTGCCCCTTCTGGACATACCCAACTCCCACTGGTGTCCCTGTGCCCCGTCACCCACGCCCCATGACAGATCCCCGCTGTTCACTCACCCTGCTGCTCCAGGACCCCCATTGCCCGCTGCACCAGGCGCCGCAGGGTCTCCAGACACTCATACTGCAGGTACCTCTGGACGTACTGAGTCCAAGTCTTGACCGTCTCCCAGCGCTGCTTCTGGAGGAAGGCCGGCTGCACGGCTGCGACCCACGTCCCCGTCTGGTTGTCAAAGCTGATGAAGTCCCTCCCGTCGAAGGCGTACTGGAACCTCGGGTCCACGGGGGCCTGGTCACTCAGGGAACAGCCCACATGAGCCTGTGCAGTGTGAATCCCTGCGGGGGAGAGAGACAGCTCAGACCCTGCACTGAGAGATGGGAAATGTGTCTGTGGGGGGTGGGGTCAGAGGGGAGCTCGGCTGGTCAGTGACACTGGTGCTTTACCGTCTCTGACCGTGTGGCGGCCTTATGCTGAGCTAGGAAACAATCCCAGAGGACGCCAAGGAGCAGGAGGGGTCAGAGCAGACCCACGGGAAGGACTGAGGGGTTGGGATCCTGCCGGACAGTTACTGAGCTCCTGGAGTCTCTCCAGCGGTGAACATCCCATACTGGGCGAGACCAAGGTCTGACAGTGGCCAACACCAGAGATTCAGGGGGAGTGCACAGAACAGGGCAATTCTGGAGTGATCCACCCCCGTCTTCCCCTCCTGGCTTCTGGTAGGCGGAGGCTCAGGGTCACCCCAGGCATGGGGCTCCATCCCTGGCCATCTTGGCTAATAGCCACTGATGAACCTACCCTCCAGGAACTTGTCTAGTTCTTTTTTGAACCCAGTTATAGTTTTGTCGTTCACAACATCCCCTGGCAATGAGTTCCACAGGGCGATTGTGCATTGTGTGAAAAAATACTTCCACGTGTCTGTATTAGACCTGCTGCTTATTCATTTCATCAGGTGACCCCTGGTTTTTTGTTGTGGGAAAGTGTAAAGACCACGTCTCTATTCACTTTCTCCTCCCCAGTCATCATTTTATAGACTCTGTCATATCCCCCCTTAGTCGTCTCTTTCTAAACTGAACAGCCCTAATTGTTTTAGTCTCTCCTCATACGTAAGCTGTTTCATACCCGTGATCATCTTTGTTACCCTTCTCTGAACTTTTTCCAGTTCCACTCTGACCTTTTGGAGATGGGGAGACCAGACCTGCACGCAGTATTCAAGGTGTGGGCGCACCATGGATTTATATAATGGCATTATGATATTTTCTGTCTGATTATCTGTCCCTTTCCTAATGGTTCCTGACTTTCTGTTAGCCTTGGGAAAGGCTGTTTCCACAAAACTAATTTTGAAGAGAAAATTTCAATTTGGCCAGAAAACATTGATTTTCTGTTGAGGAAATTGAAAGGGAAGATCCCGGGGCTGCCCGGCTCCCTGCCTGGGATTCTCCTGAGAGAGAATTTCTCAAGTTTCCTTCCCGCGGAAACCTCCCATTTCCGACTTCCCTTCCGATCGGGAATGAAACCACTTCCGGGAATAACACATTTTCTGTGGGAAGTAAACTCCATTTTCCAGCCAGCTCTGGTTTGGGCAGCACCTGGCCCAGCGAGGCCCGATCCCCAGTGGGAGTGATTCTGAGCGGGCAGCTCTCGCGTGTCCATTAATAAGAAGAACTCTCTCTTACGCATGTGGGGTGTGCAAGACACTCACCGCCTGTCTGGTTGTACAGCTGCATCCACCTCCTGATACCTCCTTTAGAGTCCTTGTCATATGTCCAGAACTTCTGAGTCTTTTCCTGGAGATACTCAGCGCCCAGGGCCTGTTCTGCCCACTCCTGGGTGGCTCTGAGCTCTCGCGTGTCGCTGCTGTAGTACGTGATCTGAACGTCATCCAGCTTGGTGACAATGATGAAGTGATGGGTCCCGTCTTCGTGGGTGACGGCTGTGACCAGCACGGCCAGGCTGTGGCGCCCTAAAGCAACAGGAGCGAGGTTGAGTTAACCAGCAGCTTCCTCCCTTGCTCAGGGGACACCAGGGTCACCCAGTGGGGCCCAGCAGAAACCTCCCACCCCCAGCCCCGTCTCCCTGCCCTCAGCCCCATCCTGGGCGAGGGACAAGCTGGGATCTGTCAGTGACTCACTGCGCGGAGCCAAGGGGGAATCAGGAAGGACGAGCTCTCAGCCTGCGCCTCTGAAAGCCCACGGCTTGTTTGGTGGAAGGGGCAGACATTGGTGGGGGCGTAGCTCCCCCCAAACAACTGCCCCCCCCGGCAAATGCCCTCAGGCTGGGCGCGGTGGATGTGCAAAGTGCCTATAGCGGAATCTGGGGTGTTTGTGGCCTGTGTGCATTTCTGTGGTGTTTGGTGAGCATGTGGGCTGTGTGCGTGTGTGGTCTGCATGTGCATTCACGTGTGTGCTGGGGGTGTGTGCATGTGGGGTGTGTAAGGCGCTTTGTTTTCAGTTTTAACTGACTTTTTACTGAATAATTCCCGGGTTTGACAGAAGCCATTATTTGGTGTTTACTGATTTTTCACCCCAATTTTGTGTCACTCAAGCACAGGGAAATACTGATTGTGGTAAGAAAATCCAGCCCGTGACAGCTGGTCGATGTGTTTGTGTGAATAATAAATTAGTCTAAGTGCCTGTTAATGTAAGGCAATGGAGAGGAAGTCACACACACACACACACGTACGTACCTACAGTACATATCGTTAAATACAGTTGCTGAAATAAACCACAACATTAAACTGCTTTCACTTTCAATACTCAGACTTTTCCCCCTTTGTTGCTTTTTTTCTGCCCTCCCGTCCCCCAGGGCAAACCCTGAGATTGACCCAGAAAACGGGGCAGTTAGTAGCTGGTGCTGGTTTTCACCCACTTGTTAAATGTTTTGTACTTAGGACTGATAAATTCCCAGGAAAATGTAAACAAAATAAAATCTGAAAACAAAGGACCTGGGGCGTGTGGGGTGCATGTGGGTGTGCAGAGTCGACGCATTGGGGGCAGGGCACAGGGTCACGTGCCCCCCAGATTTCTGCCAGGGTTTATGTGCCAGGCCCTGAACCCCACTACATAGCCCCAGAACCGTTAAATTGTGCCCCCCCCCACTATCAACTGTTATGTGTCATGGCGGGTGGGGTTCACACGCCCCTTCCTAGGAACTAAACAGGCCAGTCCTGCAGGGATATGGGGCTCTCAGGGGGCCAATCAAGCAGTCCCCCCTTTCTGTGCCAGAGGCAGGGGACAACAAGCCCCCACCCTGCAGGGAAAGCAGCCCCCAGAGTTTCCCTGGGGGGGTCTGCCACGCAGCATGGCCTGGGGCGGTGAGATGGCTGGTGCAGACAGGCTGCAGGAGTGGGCAGGACTGGCCTTTGCTCCTGGAAACGTTCGTTGCTTCTTTTGTTTCCACCTTACCTGAGCCCGGTGCCCCCTGCCCCCCAGCCGGGCTACTGCACAGCACTGCCAGAGCCGGGGTACCGGGGTAGCCAGAACTCACCCACTTCTCATTGGTGACAGGGAGTTTCGCTGAGGTTAGGTGCCCCACTGCTGTATTTACCCTGACACCACTGCCCGCGAGGGTCACTGGGCCAGTCCCCCTCTGCTCCCGTAGCGCGGGCCGACTCCTCTCCCTGTGTCAGTCACCCTGATTTGACATCACCCCTAGGGGTGGGGGGCGGCTCTTGGGCTGGCGTGT